TGTTGCTTTGTAATCTTACCTTTATGCACGTACCATCAAATGCCGATGTACTTCAGCTTTGTTCCCTCCTAACTAGTTAAATATTTGGTAGAGAGCTTGGTTCTCCAAAAGGACTCAACTACATCACTGCTATATACCAGAACATCAACAACTATACCTGTGCTGCTGAATCTGTATCTAACTGAGGCGTCTTGTGGTAGACATCCTCCCGAAATGTTTGTCGTAGTTTCTCCAACTCCTGCTCAGTTTTTTCCAATTTCTTGACGAGGTGGCGGGTCTGTCCATCTCCGTTCGGGGCTTTGGCGATGGCCATGCAGACAAGATCTTCCTCTTGGTCGATCAGCTGTGCCTCTCGCCCCTACGGTGTGCAACGCACATAAACCGGCCCCCAAGTTAGACGGGGTGAGTCATGACATTATCGGTAGACAGCGTAAACACAACGGGAGTAACTTATCACAAGGGATCACTGTGGGACGTGCAATCCGAATATGCCGCTGGAGTCGGCCACGGATGGCACAGATTAATCTGCTGCACTACAAAAGGGTGTTAGTAAGCAAGCTGGTAGAGCCGCTAGTTGTGTAAAAAATCACTCGCCCAAACACCACTCTGCCAGGCACACGACGATTAGTAATCATTGGTTTCTAAAAAGACAATTATTTCTACATGATCCAATTTACTGTGACACTTTTTGAATCCGGTATAAATCCAACAATTATACAACAGTCGTTGACCTAGTGAGAGATAGAAGGGAAAGTATCAAGTCCTCGATTCCTTGGCTTCGTAGGATAGAATATTTTCTACAAGTTAGCCTATCTTAACGGGAACTGTTTAAGCATCGTAAACTGACATTAATTCAACCTAGAAATCCGCTCAAGCTTGTTGACAGTTCGGCGTGCTGCTGTTTTCGACTTACATTGCGTTACACAGAAAGGCTGTGCCCAATGCGAGCTGTATTATGCTTACCAGGCATCTGCACTAATATGGGTACAGTATGAGATTTTTTTAATGAAATTTTATGAGCGACACCGACACTCTAAAAATAGGTATACCTTTATGAAAAAATAGGTCCGAAGACTTGGTCGATTTTTTTTCGTGTTTGTGGGACACAGTTTAATTTCCCAAATGTATAATTCAAACGATCTGCGGAGACCCTGTTGATTATTACATGTATTTCCATGCTACGGTCTTAACTTGTAACAGACTATGCTTTCATTTAGTTCGCCTCGACAGATTACTGTTGCATATTGCATCTTTGTAACTACCACACCTCAGGAAATTTATTTAAAAAATATGCAGGTTAGGCGCGCGTTGTGGCCAGGAATGGTCATGCTTGGGGCTTGGAAGGGGCGCCAACATGTAGGCCTAAATTTCCCAAATGTGTCATTCTTTTCGCACACGTAAAAAGCTATTGAACAGCACGAAATCAGTCTTAAGCGTTTTTATATTCGAATCTTTAAGCATTCCGTGACGCCTTGCTAAAGAGGTCCTAATTTCTCATAAGCAGCGATTATGAGGGGTTAGTTCGGGCGATGAAGACACTGTCTTTCACGAGCGGCCTGAAGAGGCCTAGCCTCAGATTGTCTAAGGCTGTTCGTTCCAGCAACCTTCTCATAATGCATGCACCCTATCGGCAAGCGCTAGATTGATATACTTTTTATCTTCATTGAAAAACGTAGCTTTAAAATAAGAGGATTCTTTTTACTTCTTCATATCATGCTACTCCTGGCAGCACTTACCTTCTGGTACATCTCCAGGTATCGTTTCTGATGCAGCACTTCTCTCTCTTCAGACTCTCGCTGCATCGCTTCAATCTGCTCCTTCAACGAAGTGGACATCTTCTGCTGATCATTCAGTGCTTCCGACACTTCGAGTAGTGATTTTTTGCTCTCTTGCAGATGCATCTGTAGATTCTGATACGCAAGGAGGGAGTTCCAATGGCATTGAATTTTCAATCTTAAATTTTGTTGCGAAAATGTGTCCAAAAAGTATTTTGGTACTTTTTAATGACTGCATTACCAGCTTCCCATTCCCCAATCTTCAAGATAACTTGTGATCTCCATGATTTCCATCGCAAACACTGAGCTACTCTTCGGCACCAATGCACTGCGCCTTCCACTGGGCATGTCGTTGTCATTTATGTTGACATAAAAATGAACTGATACTTTCTGTAACCGCGCTTGTTAAAATGTACACATTTGGTAAACATTGTTTTATGGTGTTCAAGTCGATTTTACCTTCATTTCAATGAGGAGTTTTCCCATCTCTGTATCTTTCGCTTTTCCTAGTTCTTCTAAAGCATGTTGCTTTTCCTCCTCAAACTGCCTTATTCTGTCTTCTTTGCATGACACCGTCTGCTCCAGTTTAGATATCTGCATGCTCAGATCCTTGTTGAGTCTTTCCTTTTGCTGGAGTGGTGTTAGATACTTCTCTGACGGCGTGTAAATCGAAAAACAGTCATGGCTGGAACCTTTCCCCCTATTTTGATTTGTGGGCAAGGAATCACTGTCGCGCATCTTCACGCGGCTTGCTGATGGCAGAGCTGACTTCAAGGTCTCTCCGGCATTGGGGGCCGGGTGTGCCTCCATCCTGTCTCTCTCGGAACTGTCGTCGCTGCTCGTACTCTGAGAGCGCAGGGCATTGGGCAGCAGGGCATTGGGCAGCGATGTCCCTTTCCCTGGCCAGGACACGGGGCTTGTGGGTTTTTCGCTCTTGAGGCTGTTCTGCCGTCTGACATTCGACTTGTGAGGGGAGTTCATCTCGGTGACCGAGTGCGACTTGCAACGAAGCTGTGAGGCTCTGGTCTCTCTTGGCCAAGTGGGAAGCTCACGTCGATGTTTTGTGGTTGAAGCACCATCGCTGTTATTGACAAGGGTGTTGGAGTGCACGTCAACTGATTCCAGGGTATTCTTTAAGTTCTCACTGGCATCTATAAGGAGAGGAGACGAAAAGCGAAGCAAGCGGGCTAAAGGAAACCCGAGGAAAAGCAATCGTTTTCTCTACCCAGCTTGGGGGCGTGTTACCCGCACCTGTCCGAACTTTATTTCTGACCATAGTATCGCAACAGAAGAAGTATCAATGGTTGAGACAATCTAGTATCCTTTAGAATCGCTCCCTTAATTACCTCAAGCAAGCCCTGGTCTTTTTCACTTAAATAATTAGAAATGAGAAATTGAGAAATAATGAGAAATTACCTGAAAAGTCGGAAACGTGAAAAGCACATCACATGCATTCATTATCTGCTTCAGGAATAGTTGTAATGTCGCAGTGTTATAGAAGAAATGTTACAGTCTATCATAAAATCTCGTACTGTAAAATCGAAGTGCTTCGGTTTTGCTTGTAATGTAACTTAGACAACATCTGCAGAGCAACAATAAAGCTTCCACGCAGCTACCGCCGGTGACTGTGACCTTTCGGTTCAGACGCTATTCTTATCGCCTTGCGACAATATTGATTTTCTGTCCGCCCAACAATGACAAATCATAAGCCTTTGAATTGCGGTATTTACAAAGAGACTGAATATTGATAGCGACTTATGCCGAATTGTACAGATCTCACTGTGCAGTATGGTTTGTAAATTTAAAAAGAGGGAAATAAAATAAAGGATAAAAGAGCACTTTAACACCTGAAATAACTGAAGCCCTTGTAAATACCAACAATTGTACATGTAATCTGACGTAGTTTTTTTTCAATATATTGTAATGGCGTGAATATCATTACCCCCTTACTACACCGTATGGTTCTGCTGTCTATTTTATTGCGAAGTTGCATTTGCATAAAGATTCATAATCAAAGTCGCTCCTGCATTGTAAAGCAGCAGAACACATGTATACAACATCTTACCTTTGCTGTGTACATTTCCATTCAGGCCATCAATTAATGAGCCTCTGTCCTCCTTCCCCGTAACCGGACAAGAAACCCCACTGCTTGTAACGTCCTCATTTTGCTGCCGTTTTTCTCTACCATCCTCGAATACGCTGTCGCTGATCGTCTCGGGCCTTATCTCATCACGCCCTGCTTTCTTGTCTTGCCACGCCCTTTGCGGCAACCTGCTTCGCTCATCCACATCTTGATCAGTGTCAACACTATGTTTATTTGCCTCCATGGCGAGATATCACCATATGTTTCACAAATCAACCGGGTTTACACACCGAGTACTCTGAGCTATCCACACGCCTACACACGGGCCCTGCGACTTGACAGACTGATCCAAACAATAATGCACGCCCTCTATGTTAATCATTACCCAGTCACGCACTTCTGCAATGCCTAACGTTGAACGCTATGCATCTTGCGTTGCTTAGCAATGTAGTTATACAGTCATATTAGTAATAATAATCACTGTCTGGATTTGTTTCGTTTGTCCATTTCGAAAGAGACAATGTTGTGAGATTTTGTTGCTATTATATACACAAGCTCCTGCAACAGTTCTGCTGAAAACAGCGTTGTTGGGCTCGAGTTGGAAGGGTCTATTTTTTTTGACGGACTCAGGTGTTTGGACTTGGATTCTTCCCTGAAAGGTTTGATAACTCTGTCCGAGTCTGGCATAATGAGTTCGACCAAAAATGAGCGTTTTGTTATCCTCAGCATCCCCTTTCAACGTAAAATAAGTAGGCCTATATAAATGAAAAACGTAAACAATATCTACGTATAGTTTTCGACCCTAGGAGTTTGTTTGTATGAAACATTCTTACAGCAAGGCACGTCATTATTCTCCTTTGTGCTCATTTTCAGTGAGCTGTTCTCTTTGTAGTGTTCAAGTGTAGTTTTGATGCCTTGTACAACATTTGTAAATTTACAAATTAAAATTAGAAAAATTTAATTTCAACTTAAATTTCAAATTAAGGGTTCTTTTAAAAAAGGCAAAAAAATAAAACACTTGAAGTGCCGATCCTGTTTTTGTTCGTTGCAATTACTGATCATAAATGGGACAGTCCTTTTCTGCACTTTTTGTACCGATGCATGTCTCAAGACATTGTTAATGTATAAGAAATTTACTTCAGTTTGTTGAAAGAGTCGAACTCTGATTTTTGGACTCAGCAAAGCTACTTTGAGGGTTTAAAAAAAATGCATGTCACTTTTTATGGTCTTTTTGAGAGGAAAGACATCTTGGGCTGTTACTGACCCCTAACCGTCTTTCTGTTATCTTTCTGTCTTTTTTTGGGGGGGGGAACTCAGGCATGGCCCCGTTGTTCCGCTTCCTTGGATCAGCCCTCATGAAGTTCTCCATCCCGCTACATTTGCATCTGCAACCCTTATCTTCGCTACAGATGGCAGTGATAAGGGGGTAGGAACATATTTTCCCCGACCCATATATTTTGCGACAAGTGTCCTTTTTTCACAACTGCCCTTTTCAACAACCTTTTTTCCGTAAGTGCCCGGTACAAAGGTCACGCCAACATCAATATAATTTTTCTAAAAAAACTTGTGTACCCCAGGTAAAAAGTAGCTTTTCAACGGCACTGATGAGAAATATACATATTTTTTTTCACCCTCCATCAACCATTTAATTGTATTGTGAAATTCGGCTCTTCGAAATGATCCGAGTTCAGCAATTCAGCGAGGGCATCCACTTTTCTGAATACTTGTAGCTGCTTTGAGAACAGGGCTAACATTGCAGTGATCCGTCTGGAGGGAATGTCCCTCTTAAGTCCTTGGATTACGAAACACTGACAGAAAATAAAGCTAACGCAAGAAGCTTGCTTTTTGTCATAAATACCCAAGAGATTTGTTCCTTTCCTTTTGTTCTTTTCTTAAAGTGAGGGTAAGTTGACATGAATTTTTAACCTTATAAATTATTGTAGTCGGTTTGCTGTTTTCCTACCTCCATGGTCTGCTATGGTTTGCGCTTGATGTGCTGCCATTGGAATGAGGGCGCCCTACAGTAAATTGCATCCGTTGCATTGAACCAACGAAATTGGCCATTTTCACCGTGAACGTGTGCACAGTTAAGTTTGTTACTGAATGAAGTGAAGAACAAAAATGGCGGAATACAATGGAAACAATCAAGAAGGCCCGGACGCGCCAGACGGCGAAATCACCACAGAGCAGACAGAAAAACTGATACAGTTCCAGGTAATATGTCGGGAGGGGAACGTTAGAATTAACAATGATTAAAAAAGATCTAATAAATGTCCGCGCAATTGCGGATAACACAGGAAAAAGGCAAGAGTCCGTGCCAAGCCCATGGCATGCATGGAGGAAGGGCCTTGGCCCTTGCCGTGGAATTCGCCGTGCCTGTAGACCATTGCCAAGGCCTACAGCTCTCCGCTGCCCATATGATAAATCATTTGCAGTTTTATATCGTCTTACGACCATGTTAACGGTTTTAATCAGTAGTATTACTACATGCAGGCCTAGTACTAGTAGTAGACACCTACGTAGGCCAATACTCAGCCTACATACTCGGGGCATTTTTGGGAAGAGTTCCATATCATGTTGGCCAGGCTACTTCCAGAGCTGTTTTGTTTATACAAATCATGTACATGTAGATAGCTATGTATAAACTTGCATAAACACATTTTGGCTGTTTCGATTGTGCTAACTTACTTTGCCATCACAGCTACATGTATTTGTGCAACTAAATTTCATTCATGGCGTGCCTTCTTGGTGAAGTTAGATGTCTCATTTCATTGGGAGGTTTACAGGTGTTCACCTTACAGAATACAGTGTATATCTTCTTTAAAATGGTGAAATTCTTGAATATTTTGCCCAGAAAATGAGCAGCATGTACACGTACCCGTCAATGACTATCAGCAGCATGACAGCTTGACCAATTAAAACACAGGTCCTCTTTTCCACCTTGTTTTCCTGACCCCATCAAAATGAAAGCCGAGCTGTGATTGGTCATTGGAATGGAAGCAAATTAGGCTAAGTACAGTGTACTTTTTATCTGTGGGTGACAAGAAAACAAGAGGGAAAAGATAGGAGCTGTGTTGGACGGTCAAGCTGTAGGAATAGCTGTAAAATGTACTGGTTTTGTTAATGTACATGCACACGTGTGCATTCCAGCACCGTAGTTGTGGGGACATACATGTACACTCAACATTTCACCTGTTTTGCAGAGACTGAAAATATAATGGGGACTCAGAAATGCCCCCTCAGTTCGGTTCAAATTTCCCTAACAAAAGAACTTGTCCCCTGAACGTGGGCAATGCCTACCCATGCATACACACACAATCTTTACTGCTATTTCTGTGTCTGGTACAGCAAGGTAAACTATGGATTGATTGTTATTTTGCCTTTTTCAAAAATTTGGTCGTCATTTATGGGTGGTTCACAATTATAAAAATTTATACAAAATCTACGCTGGGGGAGGGGGTAAATGCTTGCCGTACACTTTCAGAATTTCGAAAATGATGATTCATTTCCCATTTCTGACACCCCTGCTTTTCCGATTGGGGTCTGTCATAGGCTTTACGCTGGGTGCGCTGGTGTTGCATGCACTGTGTGTGTGGCGTGCGCAACACAAAGCGGATTGCACATGGGTCGTGTCGAGATACTACGAAGCTAAAACTGGCATCGTAGTACCTTAAAGGTACCCGTACCTCTGTAGAAACTCTTATCGTGCAGAAAAAAAATCATTTTCTTTGTGCACTTTTGGGGGGGGGGTAGTCTCAAACAGTGTATGCTTTGTACACTTGTGAAAATATTGGTAATTGTTTACAGCCCCTCACTAGATTCCTGTACATCATACAGTTGAATTCAGTGTTGAGAAAGCTTTTTCCTTACAATGATCATTACCTCTTTGGATGCCTGCCTGTTTTGGACACGTGCACATGTAGGAAAAAATATTCCAACCCTGCATGTCCATAGTTTGCTGTGCTGTTGTTACAGGCAATAAATGGCCACTGGTTTTTGAGAAAATGAGATTTTTTGCAGGCCTTTTTATCAGGTTATGTTGGAACAAATGAGCTTTTCAGCTAGTACCCGGTATGTCTGCATTCGTGCCTTTATCGGGGAGTTAAATTCGAATTTGTAGAAGTTGGGCCACTGAAAGTTTTTGGGAAACAATACTCAATTACAACCAAAATTTGGCACAACTTTGCATAATTCACTTACAAAATGATACTTGTACATGTAGTTGAACAACAACATTTACCCTGTGCAATTTTCCCCGGATCAGTTGACTTCCTTGTGTGCTCTCATGGCTGCCATTGCAAATGAGGTAAAACACTGCAAAATTTTTGTTTCAAATTCCTTTTATTTTTTTTAATCCCTTAATTCCCATCATTGTACCTGTATTAAATGAAACACCTGCCAACTTCCTGCCTGTTGGATATCATTTACATTTATCTTAATCCTATGACCTGTGAATAACTGCATTTATACAGTGTTATAAGTACATAAATTTATATTTGTAAATTTCTTTGTTTATTTGCAGGATCTAACAGGCAATGAGAACACCGATGAATGCCGGTCTATTTTACAGAGACATAATTGGAACATTGAGGTAAGCCTAACTATGAATGAAATTCCTGGAATGTACATGTACATGCATAGAGCAAGGAACAGATGTAAGGTCAGTGAACTCCATGTTCATGTGCATGTACGTGTACAGAAGCCACCGCCCAACACACAGAAAGACTGGCTGCTACATGAAGCCCAACCCCATTGCTGCATAGCCTGCTATATTACTGCTGCTCATACAAAGACCGTCCAGGGTTTGCTCACTTGAAGGACAAGATGCTAGTTTAACCTGTATGGGGTACAGTGTACGCATAAACCAGTGCAAATGTATACGTGTACACATCATACAGTGGCACGCTGGTTTTGAGAGACATTATTGCTTGATTATGAGCGCTGAGCTGGATCAAGGGAGGTCCCAATTTTCTTAGCAATGGAGGCTTCTTTGGTCGGAACTGAACTTCACTGGTTCATGAACAACTACATGTACACATGAAATTCACACGTTACAGTAGCATTACCACAAGAGAAACAAGAGCAGTCCTAACCAACGAGAGTGTGCTTCTGCTCAAGGCAGATGAAGCCCTGTAACTCACACATAAGGCAGCCATATGAAAGCTTGCAACTGCCCTAAAGTCATCAAACTTTCAATGCCTGGTTTTGCAGTTGTAATTTAAAGCTTTGACGGAAATGATATTATATACATGCCAGCAGTATGCACTCCGATGCACTGAGCATTTTTTTTTTAAATCAAGCCCGATTTCAAAGAGCTTGATTGGATGTGCATTAGCCAGTGTAAGTTTCTGTGGCTCTGTTTCTAGTGCAGCAAACTGTCTTTGATCCGGAACATACGGCACATGTGCATGCACAAACCCTGGTGTTGTTTATTAACATTTTGTATGGGAAGTCATCTGTTTCATCTTGTACCGGTATGTGACAGAAGTGTCTGACCAAATTGCACATTTTATGCACATTATGCATCCGAGGCACCAGTAGGGTGTATCATTTGGGCAGCGTCTGTTGCTAGTACGACCATATACATGTACAGGACATGTGCGCTGTACATGTAGACATGGTAGATGACAGCACACAGTACTTACATTAC